AACAAAAATCCCGTCTCTCTCTCTCTTTTTTTTTTTTTTTTTTTTTTTTTTTTTTTTTAAATAATGCCTAATGCAAGACAAGAAGTAAACATGAGAAATAAGCATGAGTGAAGAGACAGATGTGAATAGGATACTGCATGGACAAACAAAACATATGGGATTTATCTTCACATTCACGATAAGCGCAATCCCCAAAAATCCGACTGCCAATGCAACCAATAAACTTAATAATCCCAAGTCAAACACAAAGATGCTCTTATTAGGTAGCGTACACACACGTCTAATGGTAGCTTTTTCTCATGAAAAATAGAGCAATTAAAAAGAACGAGATTATGGTGGTCGTGCAATGTGTAGTCCCCTGGGCTTTCTAATTGAGCCTTGTAGTGAGTGTTCGGTCAAGTGGTTTACTGGCTCGACTCAACTAGGCTTCGAACTATTCACTGACCATATGTATAATTTATAATGGCCGTGCAATGTGTAGTCCCTTGGGCTTTCTAATTGAGCCTTGTAGCGAGCTTTCGGCCACGTGATTTACTGGCTCGACTCAAAAAGGCTTCGAACTATTCACTGACCAAATGGTTGTAGATATATATATATATATATATATATATATATTAGTGACAGTAGTTCAAGAGTAGCTTTCACTCATTAAAAGAGGCAGTTTTTCCCTATAAAAACATCCAACCATGACAAGACTATTCAGAGAAATAAGTAAGTTGGAGCCTTTTAAGTAATCATTTTGGGAATTGGTGAAGTTCTACCCCCACAAAATTTAGAAATACACGAAGTATCAAATTCACATTTGTGTCAATCATATGCAGTATGCTTAATGCAGGTCCTATATGAGATGCAAAAACATATGAAGTGTCCTACCACTAAAAGTTGCAAGTCTGGACACACAGACTGTTGCAACAGTTCATGCAACTGCATCAGATTAAACAACATAAATTCCCAGCGATTTTCGCAAGGAATCAAATTTCTGTACATCAAGGGTTTTTGCAAAAGCATCAGTTAATTCATTCTCCGTTGCAGCATAATCAATTGAGACAACCCCCTTTTCGACCAAGCCCCTTATGAAAAGATGACAAATATCAGTAAGCTTAGTTCTCGAATGCTGAATTGGATTCATAAACTTATTTTTCGCATACAAATTATCACAATTCAGATTACCAAGTTTTTTATTCCCCAAACTAGCTTTGTCACCAGAACTGTTGGAACAGTTAGTACTATCATCACATGAGTTTAAAGAAGTAATGGCAGATAAACAATTAAGATCAGACTTCTTTACCCAGATTTTTTGTTGAGATTTATTCACTAAATCAACCTTTATCTTGGGTTTTTGAGACGACACAAAAGTGTGATCAATTTTAGCGGAAAGTGGTGAGCGGGCCATTATTCTTTTAACCATTTTCAAGTACTTAAAACACCTGGGTCGTATATGACCAGGAACATGACAAAAATGACAGGTAGGGACAAAACGTTTTCTTTGAGATGACTGTGTTGATGCAACTGTCACAACAGTTTGTGAAACAATGGATTGTTTAACAAAATTGATTTTTCTTTTTGAATCTTCTTTCTGTTTCAATGCATCATTAGCTAGCTGATTACCCCCTATACCTATACGACAGTAGTTCGGCTGATTTTTGTTCAAAATTTCATTCAAGGTTACTCTACCAGTATTAAACTTAGAAATAAGATCTTGGGTTTGAGCAAATTTAGCCTTCAAGCTATCTATTTCTCTACTAGAAGAAATAACATTTTGTTCAAGAGTAGAAATTCTTACCTTCAACACTTTATTTTCCTCTATGAGAACATGCTTATCCTTTTCAAGGCGCTTATTTACCTCAGATACTTCAAGCCACTTCCGGTACATTTTTTCATATACATCTTTCACCTCTTCGAGGGTTGGCTCTTCATCATCACTACTGCTCTCAGATTCACCTGCAAAATTAAATGGTGAAGTCAGACTATTGTCCTTATTTAAGATAATTCATCATACCTGAAATCTGTCGGACAAACTGTTGCAACAGTTCCCTCGGTTCTGCTCATCGAAGTAGTACCACTGAATGCCATAAAGTTAGTGGTTTGATATCCTTTGTTGTTCTCATCCTCATCACTGTCCTCTTTATCACTCCAAACAGTGGTGAGTGACATCTTGTTTTTCTTCAAAGTGTTCGCACACTCGGCCTGAATATGTCCAAAACCCCCACACTCTCGACATTGCTTTCTCCTAGACTTTGCATCACCAAAATAACCATTATTAGAAAACTTTTTAAATTTGTTAGGGTTAACAGACTTACCTGATTGAGAGGAATTTTCTCTATTTTCAATTTTTTGACGCAGGCTTTCGAGGTTATTTGACATAATTGCTAAGGATTCTTCAACATCAATGTCACACTCATGAAATGTTTGGCCTTGTGAGATGCCATGGGAAGCTTCAGCTTGGAATGCCACATTCTTCACCTTTTTCTTTTCTCGAATATTTGCTCTAAAATTCATTTCTTGGGTTTGCAGTTTACCCATGAGTTCATCTAGCTTTAGCGTATTGATATCTCTCACTTCTTCGATTGCTCCAACTCTGTAAGCGAATCTTTCTGGTAATGAACGTAGTGCCTTTCTTACCAACTTTGTTTCCGAGTATTGTTCACCTAGTGCATACGATTCATTTGAAATATCACACAGCTTAGCGTGGAAATCAGCTATCGTCTCGTCCTCCTCCATATGAAGACTCTCAAATCTCGTGGCTAGCATCTGCAGCTTAGATGTTTTAACAGTTGATGTGCCTTCATACGTCACTTGTAGGATCTCCCATGCTTTTTTTGCTGATTCACACGAAGCTATCAGTTTGAACTGATTGTCACCAACGCCATTGAAAATTGAGTTTATCGCCCTTGAGTTGTAATTGGCAAGTAATATCTCTTCATTAGTCCATGCTTCTTCTGGTTTTACCGTTTGCGTACCATCCGTTCCTTTAGCCATGGGCGGGGTCCAACCAGTCACGATAGCACGCCAAGCTCGTTCATCAACGGACTTGATGAACATCTTCATCTTCGATTTCCAGTAAGAGTAGTTTGATCCATCCAAGAGAGGTGGTCGTACTGTAGACGCTCCTTCACGATGAAGCATATCTGCACAAAACAAATTAAAAAATTAAATCCCAAAATCTCACTAAGTGTATCTAGTGACAGGCTCTTGATGCCAATTGTTAGAATTTATTTCGTGCAGATATTAATTATTTGTGTCAGATTCAGTTTTTCGTTACTGTTGCGTGAAGTGTTGCAACAGTTCGTGAAGCAGTTCGTAAAAACAGAAATAAACGAGACACAAATTTTAATGTGGTTCGGATACAATTGTACCCTACATCCACGGGGACCTGCAAATAAAATTTACTAATTTTTAGTTTTACGAATACAATAATAGGACTTAATCGAAATACAAAGACTCCCTATTTGTCGACGCCGTTCTTGTATACTACGCTGAATTATAAATCTTCAATTTGCAGCATGTCCCTTGCTCCGCACGGTTGAACTCCCTTCAACGTTGAATCCCTCAGTCGGCGGATCGATCTCCTCCGGAGATCTGTTTAAGCCCCTCTCCCGAAGAACCGATCTTCTTTTTGTACAGAAGAAGCAAACTTGTGATACTCCTTGAATCTTGGTGTCTTCAACACAAAGCCTTGAAGCCGGTATATTTTCTATGAAAATCACGTATCACGATGGAACAATAAAAAACGAGAGCCAAGAATATTTTCTGTGAAAAACTTCTCTCGATCAAAGACGTTCCGGGAGCAGCAAATAAAAGAGAAATCTTTTTCTCTCAAAATAAAGGCACCAGCTACACACACGTTGATGCTCTTGTTTATATATATTTCCTTAGAGAATAGTAGAGCCCTACACAAAATTAGAGCCCATTAGGTTAGATTTGATCTCACGTAAGGAAAGAAAGAGTTGTGTAACAAGAAAGGTCTTAGTCAAGAAAATTCCTTGTTAACAAAACACTTAGGCAATTAAATAAATTAATGACAAAATAAGAGTTAAAATAACTAAGGAAACTTCCCTAGTTTTTATACACGGTTTTCACACACGTGTTGAAAACCCGAAATTAGAATCCTCTCGGATTCTAACAATCTCCCCATTTGTCATCTATTTATTATAATCAAGTCCTCCCCCTTAGTCAAATACCTGAAAATAAAACAATTAGAGGATAGACGAAAGCAATAAAACTAAGGATCATCATCAACTCTTTCAACAACAAGAGTGGCATCAACTGCTGCAATAGTAGGTGCCACAGTTTCAGCAACTGTTCCCACAGTAGTGGCTTCGGCAGGTGGTTCACAACGGAGTCAGCTCCCCCTGCATGTGTGTCTTCCACTGTGAATGATCCTTAGGCAGCTCCCCTTGTAAATGACTTTATTCTTCCCCTTTGCTTACTTGGCTTTGTAGACTTGGAGGGCGGCGTGGTAAATCACCCACGTGATAAAAGACTCAGCAAATAACGTCGGCATTATAGCTCCTCCTTTTATATTCTTGTGAAGACCTAAACCAATTAATGACAATAAACATCTCCATAGAATTCCACTTGGTGTTGTGGACTTAGAATCCCACCGAGATTCTAACAATAACCTACAAAAAAATATGCCCAACTTAATAAAATATTAAAATAAGTTAAACAATTGCTTAAATAGTCATCCAAGTACCTTTTGCAAGATGAATTATATTGGAGAAAAAATGATGTACATAGGGATTTTAATTTGTATTTTGTATTTTGGCTGAAATATTTATAAGTACTAAAATTCACATATATTTACCATAGACTAAAAGTGGGGGTAAGATTGTAATTACTCAAGAAAATATTACAAAACTAATGTCTTTACAATTTTGTAAGTTTGACCCAAAAAAATTGAAGGATATTTAATACGTTTTGTAATTGAGGGGTGAGTATGACACATCCCATACTTCACGGGTGCAGAGTGAACTTTGCCGTTAATTTAATTATTGACGAGTTCGTTTCACCGCCTCGAAGACGACCTCCGATCTGTTCTCGCTCTCCAAGGACGACGAAAATTGTTTTCGGCTGCCAAATATATGGATCCAGTGAGTACCTCGCTGCTGAGGTAATCTCAATAATCTGCATTAGGATTTTTTTTTGTTGGTTTGTTCGGTGCCTTCACTTTCAGTTTTCGATGCCATTGACGATGGATATGGTCAGCACAAAAAGGGTTGCAATTGACTACGCAAAATCTGGTTTTGCATCTACGGTACACCAATCCTGAAAATATGATTTTTTTTTTTTTCTGTATTTTGTTTCGTATTTATTTATTTATTTTTTCTTAATTCTTCCTTTTGTTGTCTACATCAATTTTCTTGATTTTGGATGAGGTTTTGATTTTTTCGTTAGACAGAGAAAAATAGATGACTTTTCTTTGTTCATGTACAGTGGATGATGGAGTTCCACATGGTCTCTCTTAATTTCCAATTTCAATTTTGAAGATTCTCAATTACTTCATTAGTTTCGATAATTTTTAGAGCTTATGTGCTCTGAATTTTTGCCTAGAGTTTTGATGGCTTGTTCTCAGATTATTGGCTATTTTTCAAGGGGAGATCATTGGTGGCGATCCACATAACGACGCCAAGGCAATGTAGGCGCCGCCACCAAGGCGATTCAAATAGGAGATTATGTTTTTTGGTTTGTTACATTGAGTTGTGTCAGTAGTGGATTACGTATGTTTTTAGTGGTTTTCGATAAGTTTGTCGTGGATTACGTATGCTTTTAGTGTATTTCGATTTGTTTGTAGTGGATTACATCACTATTAAAGTGGATTACGTATGTTTTCAGTGGTTTTCGATAAGTTTGTCGTGGATTATGTATGCTTTTAGTAGTTTTCGATAAATTTGTAGTTTTTTTGTTCTAGTAGTTTCTTAGAATTTTTAGTTGGTTTTCGCTGATTTTGATTTTTTGTAGCAGTTTTTGTTAAATTTTGGTAGGCGTTTTGGTTTTTTGTTAAGCACATTGTATTTTTTTGGTTCCACTAATTTGCATATCTATATTTATAGAGTTCGCTACTAAAATGTCGTAGTGAATTTTGGTAATTTCATAGTGGATATCAATAATTTCATAGTGGATTTCGGGTAATTTTCGTTGTGGATTTTGATGTGTTTGTAGTGGACTTTCGTAATGAAATACATTAATTACATAGTGGTTTTCAATAAGTTTATAGTGAATTTTCGTAATGGAATATATTAATTACATAGTGATTTTTAATAAATTTATAGTGGATTCATATTTGTTAAAAAATATTGTTTTTAAATCGAAATGTGAAAACAGGAGTAAAAAACTTAGAAATTAAAAATCAATATTAAAAAACAAAAATATTTACAAAAAAAAAAATCTGAATTTTCTAATTTTCTTATAAAAAAAACTCCAAAATAAAAATAAAGTTGAAATAAAAAAACACCATTTAATTGAGAAAAAAGAAATATATATATATATATATTTTTTCTGATTTTTTTTTATTGAATGTATGTATACGAGATTTGAGGGGAGTAATTTTGGCAGAGAGACTAGGAGTGGGACTCCAAATTAGCGGAATTTGATTATGCGAAAATAGTTTAATTATATTTTTATGAATATAATAGGAGTAAATAGAGTATTATACTAAGTGAGAAGTTATTTCTAATAGTGGATAAAAATGTGTATTTATGCCTCTAACAAGGAAACTGTACGAGGGGTTATCAGGGGTTATCTCATATAACCCCAATAATCAAAATACTAATTAAATGCTAATGAACTTATTTAATTGAGAGTAGAAAGATTATTTTATCGTAGAAAGATTATTTTAATGTCAACAGTGACAACGGTGTGAACGGCGGAGCTGGGCAGCGGATCGGAGCTGTGTTGGCGGAGTGAGTGTCGCCGAATGTCTGCCGAGGTGGAGCGGCAAATCACGAGAGAGACATATAGGACCAAGAAAAAAAACAATTGGAGGGACAAGAATCAATTGAATGACCACCTCAACCAAAAGTTTAATTATTAGTGAAATGTATCATTTAATATAAATATCTCCAATACGTCCCCTCAAGTGCAGGCGAATTACATTTGAAGCCTTGCACTTGAAATATTTGAAATGGGTGGCGGTGTACAAACTCGGGACCTTTCATTTGGTATGACTCTAATACCATGTTGAATGACTACATCAACCAAAAGCTTAAACTATTAGTGAAATGTCTCATTTAATATAAATATCTCCAATAGTTCACATATGTAGTTGTTATTGCATTATTAATCTGCAAACAAAGTATCAGTTATTTAATGTAGTCATCCCGTGTGTTTCTGAATGGTGCACTTTTGTTTAAGGGACTATTTGAGAGGACCCCCATTACTTCTTTTAATAGGGAGAGACCCTCTTAATAAACCTGAAAAAAACTCATACTCCTTGCTCCTTCTTTTTAATCCCCAAATTGCCCTTCCACTATCTTCTTCCCACTAATCTCATCCCAATTTTCGTTTTTCCTTTGTTTAGAATTAATTTTTTTTTAACTTTTTTTTTATTTTTTTATTTTTTAATTTTTAAACTTTTGTTTCATTTAATAACTTTTTTTCCCTATCAAGTATATTAATCGATTATGAAGCATAGTCGATTAAGAAACTGACTACTAAAAATAACAAAGTACAACTACATAAAAGCCAAAATCAACATTTTTATACAAAACAAATAATATATTTGATTTATACAAATCGGAATATACACAAAAATCCACAAAAGAATTAAAAACTGAAGTCTACTACCTTAATCGACTACCAAAACGTATTCGATTAACACTTTAATCGACTACCAAAGCATAGTCGATTAACTTAATCGACAACCAAAACGTAGTAAATTAACTTAATCGACTACCAAAACGTAGTCGATTGACCTCCGCGGACTTCCTCCCGCGACGTCTTCCGCCCAATCTACCTAAAAAAATCAAGATTTGCTCCTCATAGTCACCACGCCGGCGCCACACCATACCATCACCACCCCACTTCCCTATTCTAACGGTTTTTTTTATTACAAATAAAGTAAATCACAACCCGCACCACCAACCCAAACAGAATCACCACCACCAAAAACACCTAAACAAAGCCACCCAAATCCAATTTTCTTCACGACCACCGCTAAATCCAAATAGAGGCAGCAAAATTAAATTAAAAAATCATAACCTGCCTTCTGTTAGCCAGTACAACAACAACGCCCTGATTTCTCTTCCACCGTATGCTACTCCGCCGTTCCCCAACGTCGCTTCCGCTCGCCTCACCGGATTCTCATACGGCCTACGAAGAAATACCGTCATCGCATAATCCTCTCCACCGCGTCGTCACCATAGTCTCGGACGCAGACTTCAAAGGCGCTTGGATTTGGGCTGCGGTGATGGTAGTGGTGGCGGAGTGGAGGGAGGATGGTGAGATTCGGATGGGGAGAAAAAAAGAGACGGCACAATGGTTAAGAATTTAGTTATTATAATCAAATAAGGGTATTATTGAAAATACAAAAATAACATTTTGACGGAATATGAGCTAAAGGGGTTTTCTTTAATTATTTTTTTGAGGGGGATTTTCCTTCCATATATTTTCTAGATGGGGGAGGTGGTCTTGCTAATTTTCCCTATGTTTAAATTTAAAAAAAAAAAAAAGTAATGAAATAAAATAATATAAGGATTATTTTAGGAACCCCCTCATATGGAAATTAATATAACTAACCACCAAACGAATTACACCCTCCCTTATGATAATAATTTGACATACTCCCCTGGTCAATTTTGAAGCACCTAAAATGCCCTTTTAAAGTAAATTTTAAACCATAGTCAACTTACAGTCGTTTCCCTTTTCCTCTCTAAGTTTCCAGATTCAAATCCCACCCCATAGATCTCCAACCGGCGATCTTGCTTCCCGAAGTCATAACTCTCTCTCCGGTGGTCGAAATTAGATGGTTTGACAACCGTTAGAATTCTCCCGTCGGACTCTTTCTTCTGATGCTGATTTCATACAGTTTCAAGATCTGGATCTGTTTTTGCAATTGTTTTACAGTCGGCGCATATTTCGACGACGGTGGGTCTTGTTGGAGGTGTAATTTGTGTTTCGGCAGTCGGAATATAACGGGCTACTCACTGTTGGATTCCTCTCGTCGAGATTTATATTCTGATGACAGTTTCGTTCATTTTTTTATTTTTTTTTTCAGATTTATTTCTATAATTTTTTTTCATTTGCGAGCGCAGTACCTTGGGTAGTTAGCGGCGGCTAGGGTTTTGGTAGGAGGCGCTTGGGGTGAGGAGTCATTGGCGGTTTGTTCTAAAATTGCAGGTATGACCTCTTTTTCTCTATCTCTCGATCTCTTAGTATTTGTTGATTTTTGAGTGCTTTGATATTTCTACATTTTTTGTTGATTTGCACTAAAATAAAAAAAAAAAATTGTTTTAATTTTTCAATTGCAGCTTAATGGAAGCAATTGATCCTCTCCTTGAAGGTGTCAAAAAATTGGTTGATGTTACATTTGCTTCAAGTTACAGTGTTCCACAAACTGTATACGTTATTGTACATTACTATACACTACTAGTTACATATAGTAACATGTAGTAACATATGCATATACTTTTGTTTTTTCGATTTGTATTTGTTGGTTATGAGGCGATTTATAATATAAATATTGAAATTATAATTTTTTGTTGTTGGGGTATATGAATTTCTTTTGTATAAGCCAATATTCGTGCGTGTGCATAACTGGTCGACTAAAAATTTTGGATAAAAAAAAACATAACTACGAATGACTATAGTTTACTACAGTTACACATGTCATTATTTTCAGTCCAGTAAACAAATCAATTTTATAAAAAAAATTAAAAAAAAATAATAAAAATATTATATATAAAAAATAAAATAAAATAAAATAAAATAAACAAACATGTTTAAAAAAATTAAATAAATTAGTAAAAATGCTAAATGCAGGACGAGAAATGTTGAATGCAATTTGGGCGAAAATTACATATAGAGCAGTATAGTACTTTCACATTTTCAGGGAGTATGTCTAAGAATGATTTCCGCATGGGCATAATATATTTGACACCTAGAGGTGTATATAAAATAAGCCCAAATAATAATAACCTTCCGTAATTTTATAGTTTGAAATTTGAATTATATTTGCAATTATAAATGTTTCTGCTAAAATAAGTAAAATAAAGATAACTTGATTCTGAATTCAAATAGTACAATAATAATATCCGGGCTTAATTCTAGTTTGAACCCTTGAGATGTACCATTTTGCTACTTTGCACGTTCAAAAATAATTAATAGCCTTTGGTACCATCAAAACATGTTTAATCGTCCAAGTGCACCCTAGTATATTTTTCGTGGCCATAATTTTTCATTGGCAACTTATTTTTTAATCGTCAACATGGTCATTTTTGCCTATTCAATTGATTTTTCATTCAAGGTGCAAAGGGCTAATGTACTTTCGAGCGAAAATAACTCTCTTGACAATCAGAAAATAGGCCAACAATGGAAATGCAGGACGGAATATAAACTAGGGTGCAATTTGAACGATTAAACATATTGTAATGATGCAAAGTGCCATAAATGATTTTTTTAGGGTTCCAAGTACCGAAATAATACATTTCTAAGGTGCCAAGTGACATTAAGCCATAATATTTCTTATAAATTAAAAATTGCGTCAGAATACAAGGCACGATGCCAGCACACACATATACACACAAAAGTTGAAATAAGTCAGAGATTGGAGATTCAAATCCATCTCATCTGGCACCATATTTAATTTAGTCAACTCATTAAAAATAGTACTCCCACTAAACAA